TTAAATTATAATTATATATATATATAATTTATATTTTTAATATATATTTAATATATATTTTAATATATTTTATTATTAAATATAAATATAAATATAAATATATATATAATTATTATCTATATAAGCAAGTAATTAATATAAATTGCAAATACAATTGTGGAATTGATTAAAACCAACAATATTAAACTTAACTTATACCACGAAAATAATAAAAAAAAAAATTGTTATTCGTCTTATTTCGTTGTTTAAATATTGGTAATTACAATTATCACATGAACGCGCGTTCAAATTTTATGAATAAAATATCAAACTTTAAATAAATATGCATACACTTCAAACTTGTTCTCCTTTACTTTTTATTTAACTCTGAATTTATTTTTAAATATAAATCGAGACTCAGAACCATCATTATTATTATTATTATTATTATTATTATTATTATTATTATTATTATTATGGTATGAGTTAACGTTAACTTTTTTTCATTCACTTTAGTCACATTTGTGACATGAATATCGACATTAATAAGATACATCGATGAGATGAAAAAAGCAATAGAGAAAAATAATAAAAAATAATGTTCTACGAAGAGTATTATACTCGTTTAAGTTGAAAAGTTTTAAGAAAAAGAATAAGAAAGAAATAAAAGATAGACAGGAGGTTTAAACTCGAACGTAATCGATTCAATTCCCTTCAAAAGTCTGAGAAGCACCTTATCCGATTTGCGCATGAATTTTACGTTCCGACATGGTTCTAAGTTAATCTATCGGTCAAACAAACGCGTAGGTATACACTAACTTTTCTTTAAACTTCTCTTTTTTCGAATAAACTTCGATTACCAACACATGAGAAAAGAACGATGAACGATTTCACGGAATTGTTTGAAAGATGAAAATCATTTTTCGTTCGATGATACTAATTGTAAAACAACGTTACAAAACACACAACTCACAAACTTTGAATTCAAATTTAAAAAAATATATATATAAGAGAAAACCTGTTTTATGTTAAAGTTTGAAAAAATTTTGAATAAAGTATTAGAAACGTATTAAAAATTTTAACTTAAACTAGGATAACTTGTATTCCTAAACAACAAAGAATAAAAAGGTTAAATTAAATTTATAAAATAGAAATAATAAATATTAAAATCAGATAACAATTATAATAAATCATAATGCAAACTATTCGCGTTTTATATTTAAATCGAAAAAGGAAACAACACATGTATATATATATATATATATATATACACACACAAAAATACACACACGTGTCACGATACTGGAAAGGAAACTGAACACGATTTGTCGGACTTTGTCGAACGATGTAATAAAGAATTTGTAACAGGTATGTTGTTGGGAAAGCATTTGATATCTCGTACGCTTACCTTCATGTTGCGTTGAAGTTACGTGTATCAAACAGTCACAGAGGAGTAGAGTTAAGCAACTGATGCCGAAGGTGCTCGTGATCAGCTGTTTTATACCCCGGCCGATTTCCCACACTGCCCGAATTCGTCGAATCGTTTGACGTCTCTTTTTCTTCTTCTTCTTCTTCTTCTTCTTCTTCTTTTTTTTTCTGTTTCTTTTTCTTTCATTTTAACGCGTTTGTCTGTCTGTTATTCACCCTGCTCACCAATGTTTTCATCTTGTCTTAAAATTGACAATTGTGTATTCCTTTTTTATCTACAAGCATAAAAATAAAAACAAATATGTAGAAAATAATTATTAATATTTAATTAATGAAATATTTGTTTCTATTAAATACGACCTAATTACAAATTTATTTAGAAAATACAATTTAATTACCATTTATTTACAAAATACGATGTAATTACAAATTTATTTACAAAATGCGATGAAATTAATATGTGGGTAAGGGGAAAGTTATATATATATATATATATATATATATATATATATATATATATATATATTAATTTCCCAAATTAAAACCAATCTATTTAAATAAAATAATATTATAGATAATTATTGTCGTATTTTTTGTCATTTTAAACTATTATTATTTCAGTTTAAATATATTGATAATTCTAGAAATAATAATAATATTATTAACTAGCATAGAAACTTCTTTGAAAGAAAAATCAATATTGATTAGATTAATATTATTAAAATCAAATATTTGACGAGATATAATAAATTAATATAAATTATATATATTTTTTTTTTTTTTTTTTTTTTTAATTATTTCGTTGATTATTTAGAAATATAATAGAAAAATAGAAAGAAAAAAAGAAAGGAAAATTGATAAATTTCACGTCGATTGGTAAATTTCGAAGAAATCCAATTGGCATTCGAGAGAATCCGATAAATTCAACTGCATGTTGTCGATAATAACATTTTCCTCGTACCCGTTGATTTATTTATCGAGACGTGTTACCGACCAACGTCTCTCACCAAGACGAAATTCGAACGATACAGATGAAATATACATATCGAATATCCAAAACTGTTCGATGGAATACGATCGCCGATAGAGGAACGATCAAACACTATAGGATCGTTATGACCGCACGTATTCCAGGCAATTCCCATTCTATGCAAATATTCGTATATTTCAAAAGTTCATGGGAAGGGGGAGGGGGTGGGATAGAGATGAGGGGTAGGTACTTGAAGTGGGGATTAACAGAAACGAATGAAAGGGCTGTGTCTGTTATTGGGGGATGTTCAACTATATCTAACTATTAAATTTGACATGCATACAAAGACATGAATCATATCCAATGAACAATATTCTTAATTTTTTTTTTTTTTCTTTTCCAACGTTCCATTCCTTTTTGTATTTTTCTTTTCTTTTTTAACACGAAATTGTACAAGTTTACCGTATTTTTAATGTGAACCATAAATCGTTTTATAATTTACGATATTTTTTGTATTATTAACTTTATGTTATAGTAAAATCAGGGTCATATAAAATCATTTAAAGTGCAGCATCATTGCATTCAATATCAAAGAACCGTAATTTCGAATATTTACTGTAAATATTATACTTATTTTTTTTTTTTTTAAATATTATCCTTGAATGACAATATATGATCTTAAAGTTATACGTCATTATACTGCATTCGTGACTAATTATCACGCTATAAGAAAAGAACATATGCATTTATTAAAAAAAGAAAATAATCAAGGTGATCTTAAAACCTTCGATATGCCATTACACTCATGCAAAAAAAATTTACACCACTTTTTGTCCCTCCCCTCACACCTCATTCCTCATGTTCATGTCATATAAGTTTCGTATGAAACATTTTTTTATATTACGACGAATAACAAAGATATTTAAGTATCAACAGTTAGTGTGTACCACCCTGTATATAATGTAATACCATAATAAATACATTTACATATAATTATGAATTCATAATACGTCATAAATATTACAAATGTTGTTTATAATCAACTGCACAATAAAACTCGATTAAATGGTAAACCCAATGCAAATATTCCTCACATATTTCTTGTATATATATATATATACATATATACATATGTTTATACACACACACACACACACACAATAGTTACTTACATTTACGATTTAGCAATCGCATAACTTTCTGCAACAATAAGTACGATAACGAATGGCTATAAAAGATTGTACAGTGTAACTCATATGATCTTACTCTTTCTCTCTTTTTATTTCTACTATTTAAAATGTTTCTTTTCTATTGATTTTTTTTATTTATTTTTGGGTAATACTAACACGAGCATCAATTAACCAACGTATTCCACGTTGATGAAAATATCAAAAAAAAGAAAGCAAGAAGATTTTATAGCAGGTTTCATCTGACACAATGGTACATACCATAAAACGAAAAAAAAAAAAAAATCAAATTAGAAAATAAAACATACGAATTTATACTACTACATTGTACATAATATATACTACATTATATATATATATGTGAGAGGGAGAGAAAGACGAAGAGTGAGAGTGTATGGTGTGCGTGAAAACAATTGATGAATGTGAAAGATGTGTGAGAGTATGCAGCGATATCGGTATGAGTGTGTGTGCGCGCAGCGATATCGGTATGAGTGTGTGTGCGCGCAGCGATATCGGTATGAGTGTGTGTGGGCGCAGCGATATGGATATGAGTGTAGTGTGTCCAGTAAGAAAGAAAAGCGAGCGTGCACCCCGAAGTCTCTCGAATATTCCCGAACCGGAAATCGGGAAAAGGTCTTTTGTTTAATCGGTCGGGAATAGTCTGGAGATTTC